CCAAAATATCTTTTAAGATGCGGGGCTTTTGTGGGGGGTGAGAGAGAGGGGGAGAGAGAGAGGGAGGGAGGGAAAGACAGCTACCTCACCGAAACATTTCTGGTTTTATCCACAAAATCCAAAGCTGCAGCATATTCAGAAGCTTTCTAGTTTTTAGGAGAGCATGAACTGGTGGAACTTCCTGCAGAGGTAAGTTAGATCGGCTCTCATTTCGCTGCCCTTTCACTTTCAAGACCTTTCCATTGACGTGTAAGCCGGTCTGTTTTGCTAAGCAGCGTTTTTACCTTTTATTGCTGAGGGGACAGTTAAATATGTTCTGGCTGCCTTTGTTTTCTGATCCTTTTTACCACATTTTAATTTGAACAGTTCGATTCTTATTATTATTTATTAGTCTTCTTGATGCCATTTCATTATTGCAAAAGCAGGCTACTGATCCAATAAATAATTAGTATGTCCCCAGGTGCTCTTTTTCATTTACCTATCAACCCTAAAACTTTACAAATTACAGTTATGAAGTTGAGTTTTCTTTAAGAAAAAAGTCAACCTTGAAAATTAACACTTTGGAATAGACTTATCACCAGCTAAGCCCTTTTGACGTGGAAATGAATTCATCTGCTCCTTCGCTGAATACTGTGCTAACAAAAAACAATTGATGGATTCATGAATTGGTCAATGATACACTGATGCGAACATAATAAAGCCAAACAGAAGAATCCAAGACAGAAGCGCCCAGAACAAGGGGCCTCTTAGATAGCTAGATAGGAAACTGATGTCAGAAGAGTTAGATAAGCGGAAATGAATAAAACCGGTTTTATGAAATTCATGATGAAGATAAATCTGTTTGCTGAAATGTGGGCAGCCCAGATGCCCATCCTCCCATGCTTGTTTAAAATTATTTTTTAAAATAACCCATGCCTCAGTGACAGGGATGCACAAGAATACAGAGCATACAGCTCGAATGAAATTGCCCAAATCCACACACACACACACACACACTGCTTTGAAAGCAAACCCTTCAAGGATTAATCTGCAGTCTTCAACCTTAGACTGTTATAAAGATACTCATGCTTTGTGTTAGCCCATAAATTGAGAGGCATATGCTACCCTTGATCTATGCACAGAACTCCCGTTGAGATTAATGGGACTTGCATGTTGTTTGGAAGTTGCTTGCAAAAAGGGCAAATTAAACCTCTTCATTAAATAGGGAACAGGCTGTTTTAGAAGGAAATCTTATTTCCCCTACAACAGTGTTAAGGGTCCCCCCTCTCCTTTCTTTCTTTCTTTTAAGGCTGGGAGGGGAGAAGAGTCATTTCAAACAGTGGCTGCTTTATCGGCATTATGAAAGGCATGTGTTTCAAAGGAATCTGATCTGTATGCTTGGGCTTTATGCTCCCAAGGAAAGTGTGTGTATTTATGTATGTGTGTGTCACACACATGTACTTGTGAGGCCATATGTGTATGCATGTGCATCTGTATGTATCCGGAATAAGTAAAATACAGCACAGTCACACATTTTTCCTTTTTGTGCATGCTGGTGTGGGTGAAGGATGTGGTCATGTAGAATCCTTTGTCTGGCTATCCTGGTGTGCACGTAACACCCCACCAGGCCTCCCCTGGGCGTCTCTGGCCCTCCGTTCTCCTCCAGGTGTCCGTGTTCAACTTAACCATGCCAGGGACATGGGATAAGCCTGAATTACATGCTTCAGGGGAATCACAGAAGGATACCTGAGGTGACCCATCATGCAGAAAGGACCTGGAAGTGAGTGGGCCTGGAGTGGGGGGCAGGGGAGAGGAGTAGTTGTTGCTGTTTGGCCTGGAGTCTTGTTGCTCATGTACCAGCACCAGAGAAGGTGAGCCTTGCCGCTCCACAGTGCCAGCCCTCTGTATATGAATCGGCATTTTGAAGACACATAGCACATGGCGACAGTGCTGGATCAGACCAAGGCCCCATCTAGTCCTGTGTTGTGGCCAGACAACGGCCAGTCAGCTGTCCACCAGAAACGTGCAAGCAACAGCACGCTCCTGCCCATGTTCCCCAGCAACTGCTGCACTTAGGTGCACTGCCTCTCATGTTGGATAGCACATGGCCTTCAGGACTGGTAGCCATGGGCAGCCTTCTCCTTCATGGATTTGCCCACCCTCCAAGGTGGTGGCCAGAGCTGCATCTCATGGAAGAGAAACCCTCTGCTATGTGAAGAGGTCCTTCCTTCGGCCTGTGTGTTCTCCCAGCAGTCGGCTTCCATCCAACCAACGTGGAAACATTCACTAGACCTTTGGACTGAGGTCCAGCTTCACTTGTCAGTTCTAAATTGATGAGAACAAGGATTCTTGGGACCTCGCCTCTCTCATGTACCAATCACCGCAAACCAGGAAATCTCTGGATGAGATCTCACGGACACCCTGAACCCTACTTTCAACCACTCAGTTGGATAACAAACTCAGTTGACAGGACCGCAGGCAAAATAGAACCACTAAAAGACAAGATGGGAGCCCTGTGGTCTGCAGAAACACAGCATTTTCTCAGGGGGGAACAACTCCCAAGAGGGAACACTGCACCAGAGAATGCTGGTTTCCTCTAGGCTGGCTGGTATCTGAACAGGATCATTCCATTCTCTCATCTTTGCCCGAGATCAAAGATAAGACCATTGGACAGATTATTAAAGGATATAAAATGTTGCTATGATGATGGAGGAGGAAGAGAATTGAATTGTGCACCAGAGACTGCATTGGTGTAACTTCCATACTTATTGTGCTCACAGTGGGATTGGCTCATTTTGCACAGATCTACAGAGCTGTGTGCTTCTCCATCCATACTCATGATGGGAAAAGAACCTTGTCCACGAAAGAATAAGAACCTCAGACATCTTCCCTCCCTTGGAAAGAATGCCAGAAGCTACTGTAGGTAGAGGAGTCCCCTGCGTGGACTACAGACCCCTCCATTCAGAAAAGACTGTGGGGTTCAGAGAATGTGTCTTCACAAGTTTGGGAAGTTTGGTTTTGTTGACTTCCAAAAACATCAACATTATTGATGTCTCTGTATTGACCATAACTGTAATAGCATGCCTGGCATTTATGAAGCGCATTTAGAGTGTTCAGAAGGTAATGCACATTTATTTTCATTTTTATGATTACCTTGCTTTTGTATCCCACCGTTTTCCTCTTGTGAGCAACCCAAGGCAGTTTCCATGGTCCTCCTATTCTCCATCTTATCCTTACAAAAACACCCCTGAGAGGTAGGCTGGGCTGAGGGAGCAAGTGGCCCAAAGACACTCAGTAAGCTTCATGACAGGCATGGTGGGCATGTCATGAGTGGAGCCGGCTGGAGCCGGGGGTCAGAGCAGATGGCCCAGGAGACCCCTTCTGACTCGCTCTGCTTCTCTGTTTCTATGCCTGAGTGGGGAACAGAATGCAGATGCTCCAAGTCCCCCGTTCAGCACTCTCACCACCACCCTCACTGGCTCCCACATAGTCTACACATGCATTCCTCACTAACTTTGTAAGGTTGGCTGGTCTTGTCATGCTGATGATCACATACCGAAGGTGGCTAAGCCATGAGCGATTCCCATCTGCCAGCCCTGTCTCTGAGCATCTTCAAGGACTCATTTTTAAATAGTCCTCCACACACTTTTACCACAACATGTGAGAGCCAGTGTGGTGCTGTGGTTAAGAGTGTGGGACTGGGACTCAGGCGACCTGGGTTCTAGTCCCAGCTCGGCCACTGGGCCAACGGGGTGACTTGCGGCCAGTCACAGACCCTCAGTCCAACCCGCTTATTTGTATTCATTTGTTTAAAACTTTTCTAGATCATTCCTTACCATGGCCTTGGGACAGTTTAACAATAAGACAATACAATGTAAAATAAGGGTTGTTCTTGGGAGGATAAGACTGTGAGGAGGAGGAGAATTATGTAAGCTGTCTTGAGTTCCTTGGAAGCAAAAAGGCAGGAAATAAATATAATAACTAATAAACATATGGGAGCCTTACAGAAATAGAGGGTAAGATCATACACTGGCTGCCTATCTGTTATAACGAGATAATGGCATTGTCACACCAAGTCCACAACTTAGGACAAGGATACCTAACAAACTGTCTGTCTGTCTGTCTGTCTGTCTCTGTGTGTGTGTGTGTGTGTGTGTGCGCAAACTTGTAACTGGCTGTCAGGATCATTGCTGTTCATTCCAAAATAACTGGAATGCCACCATATAATACCACACCCAGGCCCTTCTTGCCAGTGGAGCTCAGTCTGTGGAGAAAATGCCCTCATGCAATTCAGGAGGTAGAAAACTGGGCATCTTGCAAATGCACCTGTTCACCCAGCCTTTCCTTGGCTTGCAATTCAATTTACCATTCTGTTCCAGTATTGTCCTGTATTATTAATTAATTAATTAACTAACATCAATGCTAGTAACTGTATCCTTATTTAAAACATGCGTTTTAAGTGTGATTTTAATAGTTACATGGAAATCCTTTATGGATTATTTTAACATACTTAGCAACAAATATATTTGTACATACATAATGAGAGCGACTGTGGTGTAGAAGTTAAGAGCATGGGGCTGGGACTCAGGAGATCTGGGTTCGAGACCCCACTCAGCCATGATGCCCACTGGAGGACTTTGGCTCAGTCGCTGCCTTTCAGCCTATCCTACCTCACAGGGCTGTTGTGGTGAGGATACACTGGAGAGGAGGAGGACCGTGTAAGCTGCCTTGGGTTCCTTGCAAAAGGAAGACAGGTGACCTACGAATGCTGCGTGAGGATGGGGGAGGAGGAAAATCCGTGCGGGTGTCTCCTTGCATAAACAGGAACATGCGAAGGTGGGGGTGAGACCCCCGTGGGGGAAATTCCAGTGGGCTTCCTTGTCCCCCAGGCACTCCTTTCTAGGCCAGAGGTGAGCTGTGAACCAGAAGCATCCTGCCACCTCTTTGCCCCCAAGGCCACACCGGCGATTGCCCGGTCCTCTGCTCTCGCCCCCGCAGGGGAAAATGCCAACTGGACTTACTGCAGCCAGCTTTGTAGCTGAAACCGGGAGGCAGAAGGAATCCTTGCTGGGCGGCTGCTGCTAGGGTCCGCTGGTCTGGAGGGAATACTGGAATCATTAATGGCGGCAGCTGACCTTGGACCTGCTGGACAGGAGAAGGTGACAATCAAACCAGATATCATGGTGTCTTCTGAACACTGCGCTCGTCTGGGACTATGCCCCTGGACAAGGCGCCAACACTTCCATGTTACCTTTCCGATCCAGAGCCCGGAACACACATGGTTTACGTTCATGGAATTCCTACACCAACATGCACATATTTCACTAGCTATTCCTCTGCAAGGGAGCCCCTGCATCTGACTTTCTCTGGATGGAGCTGTCCCTCTATGGCAATGGATCATGGAGCTTCGGCATGGATTCCCATGTTCATGAGATCTGTCTCAGGGACGCGCTATGTTGTTGGGGTTTCTAGACTGGCCAACTCATATCCATCAGGCCAAATGTGGTCCACCACCTGCCTGAAAAGGTTCTAGAAGAGGACAGTTGTCACTTGTAGGGATGTAGGTGAATTTTGTTCTTCTCACCAAACAAGAGACTATTTCAAGCCCAAAATGCAAGTGAAAACGTTCACAAACTGGAGCACATGCTCATGTTTGTTGGATTGCTGATTCCCAGTTCAATTTGAGCAAATGTCCTGATTTGTTCCAATTCCCTTTCTAGACTGAACCATCCATCCTTCAGTCCATGCAGGAATTTGCACACCATTCAGGAGATTTCGGCATGAGCCCATTGTGACTGTGAGTAAATTTTCACCAGTCTCCCAACGGCCAAAGGGAACGGGGCAGGAGACGAACAGCAAGGAGATGCTCAGAGAGCCCTAGCTCTGCCAGACACGGCTTGCTCATGCATTCTTATTCCCTGGCTCAAGTCAGACTGAATCCAGAAATAAAATAAGTGACCCAGGCAGGAAGGAGCTTGCCTCGGTTCTGTGCCAGTCCAAATTTGGAAGCAGACCACTTCCCCTAGGAGTCACCATACCCTCTTTCCCTCTGTGGTGGCAGCAGCAAGCCATGAACGGGAAAAGAAGGAGCAGTTTCTGCATCTCCATGCCTTGCACTGCCCCATGCAGGACACCAAAACTTCCACTAGCCTCTGAGAAAGGAGGTTTCTTGCAAGGCTACCAACGCTGCAGCTGATTGCACTGAATATCGGTGGCCAGAAGACTCATGCAGACCCAAAGTAATCAGGGAAACGGCTCTCCATTACTGATAATCCACCAACTTGCCAAGGCACATTCAGGAAACACATGAAATTAACACTGACAAAGCTAGCAACACTCAGACCTGCACTGAGGCAGTTTGGGTAGCCAATCAACTTGTTCTACTCCTGGAGAAAAATCTGCATTACATTTTTTAAAGACCCACATGCATCTAAACGCTTCTTGTGTGAAGATTTATGAACAAGATCAGCCATGCATGCAAGACTTCTTTTTTTCTTGAGGACTAGAATTCTGCTTGCTCTAACAATTTCAGTATCTGGGTGACAAGAAATTATTAAAACACGGTAATGACGTATTGTGTGCTCCTCGTGTGGATTTGTTCTGTTGAGGAATGACAGAACGCCTCTCCCCCACCATGACATCTAGGCAGCTAATTGCACAGTCACAGTCAACCTGAAAAGAGGTGATCTCCTCGCACTGAAATTGACCTCCCCACCCCTTCAGGCCACACTTGCAGGAACGGAGTAGCACATTGAGAGAAGGCTGCGGGGGGATTGATGTTCCACAACCACAGAGTGGAGGCAACTGGATGCTTGCACAGCAAAATGCTCCAAGGGAGCTGCACCTTTCTCTGATCTCAGTGCAAAGAGAAAGCAGGACGGCACTTGCAGTCTCCTAACTACAAAGAAACATAGAAACAGAGCGAGTCAGAAGGGCTCTCCCGGGCCATCTAGTCTGACCCCTGGCTCCAGCCGGCTCCGCTCACAACATGCCCACCAACTACGGCACTTAACAAAATGCATCTCTCTGTCCGAAAGACTGTCCGAGGATGGATTCTCCTCATCTGGAAGGGTTGTCCAGTCTTATCCTAGTTTAAGGTATTCATTTATTTATTGTTTATTTAAAGCTTTTATATACCGTCCCATTACTGACGTCTCGGGACGGTTTACAACGAAGTACCCCACACAGGGGACCCAAAAGGGAACCTAAAGTTGTCCCTTTATAGTTAGCACCTGGATAACAGACATGCCACATTGTTCCAATCTTTCTCATTCAGCTGAGATGCATTCATTTAAATTTAGATGTATTGTATTTAAATGATGGCAAATCTTCCTAAATCTTCATTTATTCATATCATTCAGCATACACAAAAGTCATGCAGATCTGTACCCTTCCTTGCTCCCTTGTTTAAAAAAGTGATCCATAAGTAACCACCCCTATTCCTAGCAATGTCGTTGTCGGCTTTTCCTCTTTATAGGCTCACTGTTTTTCCTACCCAGTTCACTAACTCTGTACTCCCAGTTTTCCATTTACAGTGCAATCCTACGGAGAAGCAGAGTTCAGCGGGACTTACTCTTGAGTAAGTATGTGCAGAATTGCCATCGTAACAATCCTGGGGGCCAAGAAGATGCATTCTGCATCCATTTGATATTCCTGCCCTTTCTTTTAATTTTCTTTTTTTAAAAATGACAAAGAAACTCCATTCTCCTTTTAGAACAAAAATGAACAGCCGAGTGGAATTTTTGCATCGTATTCTTCGGCAGAGAGCCATGGAACTTTGAAAAAAAAAAAGGGTTCCAAGGATGAAAGTGACTTTGCCAAGCAAAGAAGCTTCAAAACAGAACTCAAAACACTAATAGAGAGACAGATGGTTGCACTGAAAGCTTTGCTGCCAAAAAAAAAAAATTATATACAAAAAGAAAAAAAAATCGGAGTGATGTTATTGAAGCTGACTGGAAAGTTCTCTGATGACTGCAAATACTCTTGTCCCATTTCAAGTGTTAACTCTGCCTCCAGGGCTCATATAAACTAAAGCAACACAAACTCTCTCTCTCTCTCACACACACACACACACACACACACACAATGTCTGCCAAGCCCACAAAGTAGCAAAAGCCTGCACTTGATTTCAAGTGACTTCTGGATATGCTTGGAAATGCATCGTACTAAAGCATCTCTGTTTCAGAATGGAGCCACTAGGAAGACAAGTTTAAATAAAAATTACAAAACCAACAACAACAACCTTCCCCGCCCCCAACAAGACATTACCACTTTTTCGCACGCCCAAGTTTTCCACCTCCCATACAAAGATGGTTTTATTTTATTTTATTTTTGTGCGGGGGGGGGGCAAACTTTGGGCTTCCAATGACAAACTTTAACTGAGTAACAGAGGTAAGACAAGCAGAAAGGTGAGGACAGGTTTGCATGGAGACCGAAATAACTCAGACAAAACAATGTAATTTTCATTCCAAGCTGGAATGCAGGCAAGGGGAAGCTTTAATACCTGCACGCCATTTCCTTTCCAAGGTAAATAAGTGCTCAGGTAATTTCATAGTTTTCAAAATATTACAGGGGGATGAATGTGGACAAAATGTGCATGATGGCTATTTTCCCCCTTAATGCTGTATTTATTTGTGGTGGGAGGGCTGTTCTGGCAAAGTTTGTTTACCCAGAGTTGTTGCTAGGTTACAGATGTGATCCCTCCACCCTTTCAGCTAGAATGACTTAAAACAACCCAGTTCATGAGCAATTGCACTGACATACAATTCCTTCCCCCCAGTTATGTGCCCCCCACTTCAATGTAACCCCCAAGGAACTTGCTCATCCTAGATTTAAGAGTTGTTAGGACTGCTAAGAACTTTTAATCAGGGCTACTTGCAGACCTTACCATATGTTCTGTTTGTGCAACAGATCTGCGGAGAGATATAAATAGTGCCTTCTCTTTGAGGATATTTATGGGTAATATAATTTCTTGGGGCAGGACTGCCATGATGCTGAGAAGCTTGAGGTGTGCACTTAGTCCTGCATAGGGACACCAGCAGAGAGGAGGAAAAGGTGGCTGCAGCCCCTCCACCCAAAGATGACCCAGGGGCTCTCTCGCCCCCACCCCCATGATCAAGCCAAAGCAAGAGTTTCTTGCAGGTCAAGGGTAATTGAATTGGCAGCTCCGGAATCCAGCAAAAAAGAAGGCAGTGCCTTGCTCATTTACTTATTAGATTTTTATCCTGCTTTTTTGCTTACATAGAACTCAAAGCACCTTATATAATTCTGTTCTGGTGGCTCTCAATTTTATCCCCTGCAAAAATGACCCTGTGAGGTAGGTTGGGCTGAGACTTTGTGCCTGGCCCAAATTCATCTAGTTGGTTCCATAACAACAACAGACCGGCCATTTTTTCCTTAAAGCTCTTACTGCCGTTAACCAAGCCTTGCAAAATATCAGTCATCTTGAATGGGGCCAGTGGAAGAGGCAGTGCCTAGCTGGAGAACTGGGGCGGGGGGCAGACTGAGAGCTAGAAGGGCAGGATTTGGTCTCTTGTGCTTAGTATCTGCATATCTGACATACATGAGTGTCAGCATATGCCAAAGTTCCCTGGGTTCAGGCTCAGAAATGAGCTTCAGGGTCTTGAAACTGCCCGTGTCAAAGGCAAAGCAAGCATTGGAAGCCCCCAGTTCTTTTCCAGTTCTGGTTCTCATTTAATAACAATCACTTGTAGGGTCCTGTGTGGTACAGGTAGCTTTTGACTTCCAAAATTGTCATTTTGACTCATAAATCATAGATGGAAACAACCATTTGCCAATGAGAGGTGGTCTCAGGCTAGACCAAGACATGTCTTTTGGATTTGGGTGTGGGAAAGGACTCAAGCCTTTCCTGAAGTCACCTGAGGGGAGCAAGGAAGAGGACCTCCACCTCTGGATAGCGTAGGACCACAAGGATGGTGGCCGGATTGCAGGGGAAGCCATATGAGGTGAGACTGAGGGAACTGGGTCTTTTCAGCCTGGAGAAGAGGAGACTCAGAGGGGATCTGTTGCAACATACAGGTACATGAGAAGGTGTCACATGGAGGTGGGTAGAGACCTGTTTTCCCCTGCGGAGGAGGGCAGGACATTTTCCAGTGGAGAAAAGCTCAGGGAACCAAAGTTCA